TCCTGCTGCTGTTAGGATTTGCATTATTAGATAGATCTCCTTTTTTCTTAAAAGAATCTGGTATCATATTTAACAGAGAACATTCCGGTGTCAATATAATTTTTTTCCCTATTATTTTGTCCACAATTTCTTTCACCATAGCCCCCTTGAGGAGACTCGAGCTGCTTGTCAGCCTGTTTTGATGGTTTTGTTCTAGAAAGCTGACAGGTGAGCCACCTGTTCCTCACCTACAGTGCAATAAGCAACATCGCGTGGCCGATATTTTAGTTAAGAGCGGGGCCAAAGATTGATACTGAAGGGCTCTTGGATGATGGATACTAGGCACGTTAGTCGATGGGCGACACAGATTCCCCTCCCTGGTTTCCTGAAAATGAGTGACATTCCCGTCCCCTCCTGCTTCGCATGTCCCCTTTCTTCGGCTGCGTTGATGTCTCCGTGAGTCACAGGCAAGAAAAAGGAGCAAGACACAGATGATGAACAGGGTGTTCAGCTGCTGGTAATCACCGCCTCTCCTCCTCAGCTGCTGTGCCTTGAAGGTGCATCCGCAGGAAAGAAATGTCGCCACAAAAACCACAGCCTTAAACAAACAGCTATTAATGAGGCAACCAGGTCTGAGGCGCACACTCCCTTCGTCCTCCTGAATTGCTCCCGATGATTGCTAAGGAGTGGAAGCGACAGGTCTCCGCGTCCTGCTTCATTATGTGAGGGAAAGGGTACATCTCCTCACAGAGCCTCCCTTTCATCCGTTCATTAATTGCCGGAGGGTTAAATTGAACGTCACCTGTTCAAAAATGTTACAGCCTCTCGGAGTCTTTTGAAACTTTCACTCATAACGAATTGCTAGCGAGCAGGGCTTTTTTTGTAGAAAAAGCCCAGCAGGCACTCATTAGCATAATAGGCCACACCAAGCAGCAGAAATTGATTAGCATATTAGGTCACACCCCTGACAGCACAGCCCATTAGCATATGAGGCCACACCCCTATGCCTTCCCTTGGCTTGCTTGGGCGCCCCGCGGCTGCGGGTAGCCCGGGCAAGTCCCCCCTTGAACGGGAGGGAAGGCAGTTCAAGCCCATTAGCATGTTAGACCACACCCCTATGCCTTCCCTTGGCTTGCCTGAGCACCCCATGGCTGTGGGGAGCCCGGGCAAGCTGGCCCATGGACAGGCCAGGGAAGGCCTTCCAGGGGGCCCCCTTGCCCGCCCGCCTCGGAGTCACAGGGCTCACTCTCCAGGCCTTCGCTCTGTAGCCACACACACAGAGGTTTTGGCTGTAGTGGGCGTGGCCAACTCTGAAGCCAGCCGGAACTCCGTTCCTGTGCGTTCCTGCCCAAAAATAGCCCTGCTAGCGACGAAATTTGCTGCCAAAGACTCGGGGCTGCCAGTTGTGTGTTTGATAAATGTCTAGAAAGGATGGCCGTGTTTGTTAGTTTGTTCAGTGAATTTCTATTTGGCTTCGCCAGAGATCTACTTAAGGTGCAATTAAAAAAAAATTAAACTTTTAGCAACAGATCGGTTAGAGCTGCAGTGGCTCAAGTGGTTAAGACGCTGAAGGTCAGTAGTTCAGCGGTTCAAGACCCGGGTGCCGCAAGACAGGGTGAGCTCCTGTCTCTAGTTCCAGCTCCTGCCAACCTAGCAATTCGAAAGCAAGAAATTGCAAGTAGATAAATAGGGACCACTTTGGTGGGAAGGTAACAGCGTTCTGTGCGCCTTGGTGTTTAGTCATGCCGGCCACATGACCACAGAAACGTCTTTGGACAGCGCTGGCTCTTCGGCTTTGAAACGGAGATGAGCACCGCAACCCTAGAGTCGGATTCGACTGGCTTTCGAGCAAGGGAACCTTTACCTTTTAACAGATCGGTTATTATGTATGGTTTATTCGTATTTACTTCATTTATACCTCACCATTCTCCCCAGTGTGGGCCTACAGTGACTTACATTGTTCGTTCCTCTTCCATTTTATCCTTACAACAACCCTGTGAGGTAGATTAGGCTGAAAGAGCACCTGGCCCAAGGTCACCCAGCAATCTTCTGTAGCAGAGTAGGGATTCGAACCTGGTTCTCCTACAACCTAGTCTGCAACTATCACCACTACTACACCACACCGGTTCTCAGAACAATAAAAAGAATATCATAAAATTATCCTCTGTTCAGACTGAGGGGGCTCTCACAGACGGCGACAGCTTTGTTGCAGAGGCTGATCAGCTGTGATGGGCGGTCAATTTGTGCCAAAACTGTGTGGTGGATATAATTCCATTTTCCTGGCTCCTTTTGGGAGAACAGTAAAAAGGCCAAATCTGGCCACCGACATGTTTCAGCATTAACAGTTCATCCTCCTCCCCAAAGGTAAGGAAGATAAGTCTGTCAATGGCTACTAGCCATGGTGACTGAGGGGAACCTCGTCCCTCTTGGTCTGTGCAGGGAGAAGGGGGACCTTCGTCTGAGAGAGTGAATGAAGGGAAGGAAAATTGCCCCTGAGAACACAATCTACATTTCAAAGGGGCCAGTGGCAGAAGAGTAAACACAGGAAGGAAAGGTCAATATGCCTATCTAGCGATCTAGTCTCTCTTGCCACTTGCTTCTGGAGGTCTGAGACAGGGGACATCGCACCCGGAACTGCCAACAGAATTTCCCTCTGGGGGACACTGAGGGTGTGTGTGTCATTCCTCCCCCTGAGGGGGGAATCTGATGTGCAGTTGTGAATATTACTAATCTTTGGCCTGCAACAGAGTTGCTTGAAATTGCAATGCAAGGGGCACATTATGTAGGGCTGCCAGCCTCGAGGTGGTGCCTGGTGACCTCCTGGGATCAGGGGTCATTTCGTAGAAAAAGAGGTGCAGGAGCTCATTAGCATAACTTATTTGCATATGCCACACCCCCTGGCATCACCAGAAGTGTGTCAGAAGGCAACACCCACCGCTCAGGCTCCACTGGACTGTTTTGGATGGCTAGCTATTGGGGGGGGGGAGGAACGTGCTGATCTGTCCTCGCAGAGGAGGGAGAGCTTGTACCTGAATCAAGCTTGGTCTTAAAGGTGCCACTGGACTGTTTTGGACCGGGGCAGCGGGGGGGGGGAAGCTCTGCAACTTACCTGGCTGCTTCTTGCTCTGACTGAGGGCTGCTGGGAGCCGGGGGTGGGGCTTGTTGCATGTGCCTGCCTAGAGATGTGAAGGCCTGGAAAAAAAAAACGGGAAAATTCGGGAGGGAAATGTGTTTTTTTCCTGAAGTTTTTTTTTGTTTTTTTTCCAAAAAATTGGAAAAATTGAAAAAAGAAAAGGGAAAAAAATTGATTATGGAACGTTTTATTTTAACATGAGGAATAAAATATTTTAAGACAAGGTGTTCAAATATTTTCCAAATCATTTCTAATATATATATGGTATCAGATTGATCTAATTTCTGTGCACTGAGGGCAAGCAAGTCCTAAGTTACAAACTGAACTCTCCAATGCAAGAACAAGATGCATTTCTTCCTTTAGGAGGTGCTTTTGTCAGAAGAAAATTAAAAAGTTTCAGTTTTGTTTTTGCATGTGGGTGGGTATTCTGTTTGTAAATATTGTTTGGATACACTATATTTTTAATATGCTAGTTGTGATGATTTCATGCCAACTAAAAATGTCCATAGTCATATTTTATGCTCCTAAAGTAACAGAATGACTTTCAATCTAGAAAAGACAAAAGAGATGCTAATGTAGCATTTTTTTCACTTTTTCCGAAAATTCCCGTTTTTTCCGGAAATTTCACATCTCCATGCCTGCCCCCTGGGCTCTTTACTGCCGGAACTCCGCTCCTGTGCGCTCCTGCAGGAAATGACCCCTGCCTGGGATTTACATTGGTCTCCAGGCGACAGAGATCAGTTCCCTTGGAACAAATGGCCGCTTTGGAAGGTGGCTTCTGTGGCATTAAACCCCAATGAAAGCCTCCCCCCCCTTCAAACCCGCCCCCCTGAGGCTCCACCCTCCCAAATCTCCAGGTATTTCCCAACCCGGAGTTAGAAACCCTGACGTTAAGCGTGGCGTAATACCCATTGCCAGACTCTTCCCCAAATCTGAACTGGTCTCTTAATGCTGAGTGACCTTTGAAATCGTTTCAAAGGCCTGAAACCGAGATATCTCATTCCGCGCACGCTCCCAAAGGAAAGGTAACTCCTCCCAGTCACGCGACGAATATACTCTGGGAGAATTTATTCCCGGGGTCATGTTGCTTATGCAGAAATCTTGATTTCACAGGTGCTGGGAACTCAGCGCTGGAGACGTCAAATGGATCTACCAGGCTCCGATTTTAGCAGCTATTGGGGTAGGCTTAATACATAGAATGTTTATTAAAAGACCCTGGGGGTTTTTTGGGGGGGGGGGGTCTGTACGGGCCCAAGAAAATGCATGGAGGAATGAGCCATGATTGGGGAAGAAGAAGAAGAAAGAAGAGATTGGATTTATACCCCCACCCTTCACTACCCGAAGGTGTCTCAGAGAGGCTTACAAACTCCTTTCCCTTCCCCTCCCCACAACAGACGCCCTGTGAGGTAGGCAGGGCTGAGAGAGCTCTGACAGAAATGGCTCTTTTTTTCAAGAACAGCTCTTATCAGAACTACGGCTTGCCCAAGGCCATCCAGCCAGGTGCAAGTAGAGGAGTGGGGACTCAAACCCGGTTCTCCCAGATTAGAGCCTGCGCGCTTCACCACGACACCAAACTGGTTCCAAGGCAATGCAACCACATCTTTTAGAATATTCTGGAATGCTGATTTATCTGGGCGGCTCCAGTGTTATCATCTGCTTTTGCAGTCAGTTTTGTAGGGCCGCCACCCTCCTGGTGGGACCTGGAGCTCTCCCAGAATCACAGTTGATCTCCAGACTAGAGGGGTCAGTTCCCCTGGAGGAAATGACAGTTTCAGCAGGCAAACCGTCACATACCCACTGAGCTCCCTCCCCTCCTCAGCCTCCTTTCTCCCCAAGCTCCACCCCAGGGTTGCCAACCTCCAGGTGGGGGCTGGAGAATTCCCAGAATCACAGCTGACCTCCAGACTACATAGATCACTTGTGTGTGTGTGTAATTTATTTATCGAAAATGTATATTCCACTTCTGGAGAAAAGGGCTGCTTTGAAAGGCATGGCATTATACCCTACTGTTATGTATTGAGGAGCCTAAGCCTTTCCTCCAGCAGTACCTAGAACTGGCTGAGCTTGCTTCTCTAGAACAATAGCTCGCCTGGATCCGGGAACTAACCAATAGATATTTGTTTGTTTGTTTGTTTGTTTGTTTGTTTCACTTTTACCCCACCCTCCCCGCTAGGCAGGCTCAGGGCGGCTTCCAAGAACTGACAAGCAGTATACATTCCTAATAGATTATAAAACATCAATTAAAACACAGCAATCAATATAAAACATTCATTAAAACATTCATTAGATGGCGATAGAACTAAGGTGCAATTTAAGGACACATTCGGCAGTACCACTGCATTAGATCATATAGGATCGGAGTTCACTACAGGGCGCAGCTGGTAAAATGTCGCTCCTATCGGAACGCCTGCCTGAAAAGTTCTGTTTTCATGGCCCTGCAGAACTGTGACAAGTCCCGCGGGGCCCTGATCTCGGCAGGGAGCTCGTTCCAGTAGGACGGAGCTACAAACGAAAAAGCCCTCGCCCTGGTTACCATCAACCTGACTTCCTTAGGGCCAGGGAGGTCCAGGCAGTTTTGGGATCCTGATCTCAGTGCTCTCTGGGGAACATACGGGGAAAGGCGGTCCCTCAGGTAGGCCGGTCCCTGACCATAAAGAGCTTTAAAGGTCAAAATCAGCACCTTGAAGTGAATCCGGAATGCTATTGGCAGCCAGTGCAGAGTCTTGAGCACAGGCTGGATGTGCTCCCACCTGGGGAGACCCATCAGCAGCCTGGCCGCCGCATTCTGCACCAGCTGCAGCTTCCGGAGTTGCACCAAGGGCAGCCCCATGTAGATAGCCTATCACTGGAAGTGTGTGTGTGATGGCTGTGATGTTCTGCATGCTTATAAGCAGAGCTTCAGCCCTGCTAGCGTCGTCTTGTGTTCTGCTGAAATCACTGAATAAGCCAGAGCTGATCACTGCAATGCATCTAAAGTAAAGGGAAAGGTAAAAGTTTCCCTTGCTCGAAAGCCAGTCAAATCCAACTCTAGGGTGCGGTGCTCATCTCCGTTTCCAAGCCGAAGAGCCAGTGCTGTCCGAAGATGTTTCTGTGGTCACACAGCCGGCATGACTAGACACCGAGACTCACAGAACGCTGTTACCTTCCCACCGAAGTGGTACCTATTTATCTACTTGCAATTTCTTGCTTTCGAACTGTTAGGTTGGCAGGAGCTGGAACCAGAGACGGGCGCTCACTCCGTCACGTGGCACACTCGGGTCTGAAACTGCTGAACTACCGACCTTCCGGTCTGCAACTCAGTGTCTTAACCACTGAGCCACCGCAGCCCCTGCAATGTGTCTAGAACCCAGTATTTAACACCTACCAAGGTCCCTCCCCTACCGAAACCCCACGGTCCCAGGCTCCTGCCTCAAGTCTCCAGGTCTTTCTGAACCTAGAGTTGGCAACCTCACTTCTACCCCCAAATCTCCAGGAATTTCCCAGCCAGAGCTGGCAACCCTAATCAGAGGCTCATCACAGAAGAAGAGTTGTGAATACAGGTTTCTTTACCGTTAAACCACGTTGCAGTGCTTAGCTATGGAAAGTTCCCAGCCTCCAGGTGGTGCAAACCACAAAAAAACAACAACACAAAACTGTACCAATAAAGTATGAGACAACAAAATTGCGTCCTTAAAATGAATTAGTATATTCTCTTGCAGTCCTTTTTCACAGAAGTTATTAACCAGTCCCTTTTTGTCTCTGAACACAGTCACAAAGGAGGTGGCTACGGATAGCCTAGGTTGTCGTCCGTTTCCTCTGACTTCTTCAGGCCTCTGTCTCAATGGTGGAGCCGAAAGCAATAGAGCAGGGGTGTCGAACTCATTTCTTATGAGGGCCAGATCTGACATAAGTGAGACCTTGTTGCGCCAGGCCATGTGTGTCATAAAAGGTAACGCCAGGTAGCGGAGATATAAACTTTATAAAGAACTCAAATACAGAGGGGTTTTTTTTTGACTTAAAATAAAAACATGCTTAAAACATTCGCACTCTTGCAATATTTTGTTTATTTAACAGTATCTGATAACTGACACCTCTTGTTCTGAATTATTGCATCAAAATTTCTGTGCTGTTGCAATCTTGAGTATGCTGTTCAGGTGTGTATATGTGAGCTGCAAACCTACTTTTGATTTATTGACATTCACCACAGAAATCTCATGCTCAGAGGTTAAAATATGAAATGGCTGAGCGATTGAGAGAGTCTGGCAAAGCAAGCTATGATGCAGCAGCAGCAGCAGAACTGGAAACTGGAGAGGGCCAGTTCCACTGCGGGCCTGATGGAAGTCCACTGGGGGCCCGATCCGGCTTCCAGGTGTTGGGTGATAGTGAGATATTGAAAAAATGGTATTTAGCAGAGATATGATAGCCCAGCAGAGCCAGAGTAAAATAATTCAGACTCAGAGTCCATGTGTGATTAAAATATAAAGTTTTTACTAAATTCTAGCATGGGAAGGGTAACTAGGATGAAAATAACAACAGAGCTAAATCGACTACATCCTTACATTACAAAGACAGAACTAGAAGAGAGATTATGCCTACTCTTCTTCTTCTTCAGAACACCAAAACAAAGACGGGAAGAGAAGCCATAAAATGGTAATACACCTTGACACTTTAGTCCCAATCAAATCCCTAGATCAGGGAGAAAATTCCCGGGCTTCCTACATCTAAAGAACATTGGTTACATGAGAAACATGTGACTTCCTGTGAGTAACATAAACAGACATTTAACCCCAGATATACTGAGTGTTTTCAACTTGTAATACCCAACACCAGGCCACATGCTTGACACCCCTGCTCTAGAAGTTAACTCTGACTTTATCATGCTTCATTTTGGCTCTCCTGCTGGGCCCACCATTGAGGCAGCGGCTTGACGAAGTCAGAAGAAACGGACTGTAACCTAGGCGATCCGTGGCCGCTTTAAGGGAGTGGTTAATAACTTCTGTGAAAAAGGACTGCAAAGAAAATACTAATTCATTTTAAGGACACCATTTGTTGCCCGATACTTTATTTGTACAGTATCTTTTTGGTGGTTTACATACTTGTATGTGCTGAACATCCATTGGGGGTTATGCAGTTCCCGGCAGCCGGAGCTAGCTCTAGGAATGGCTAAGTATTTAACACGTAATCACCACTCATTTAGGGTCAACTCTTATTTAACTCTTCAGCAGCCCAAGGTTTAGTTATACTTACATTCCCTTTTTCGATAGCTGTTAGTCCTGAGTCCTTTGAGCGATTCATGTGGTAAAAGGAGGTGGATTTCTCCCGTCTTGTTAGCTATGAGATTACAAGCACACGGGGAGGAGGAGGTAGGGTTGCCAAGTCGTTCTGACTCACCAGTAGGGGAGCGTTGCCTCGGTCTGGGAGCTAATGCGGGACGTGCGCGTGTGTGTGCGAAGCGCGCGTGCATCGCCAGAACGTCACAGAAAGTGACGCACGACATAGAGCGCATTGGGGGCGTGGCCCAGATTGTCGGGGGGGAAACCATATGGGCCACGTCCCCAACGTGCTCTACGTCATGCGTCACCTCTGGTGACGCAGCTTCGGGGGGCAGAGTTCCCCCCGGGGGCTGATTCCGCCACGGCAGAAATCAGGCCTCCAAAGCGGGGGTTTCCCCGCCCCCACTTGGCAGCCCTAGGAGGAGGGTAATAGACAACTTTCCCTGGGCAAATGTATCAAGGAGAAGGGGGGCTGTATAGAACCAGTCATGAAGGCTACTCCTAACCAGTGTTCCCTCTAAGCCGAGTTAGTGTGAGCTAGCTCACAGTTTTTTAGCCTCTGGTTCACACATTTTTGTCTTAGCTCAGGGAGGAGGGCTCCAGAGCAAACTAATTCATGCAGTAGCCAACTCACTCGCTCACTCACAACTTTAATGCTGGTAGCTCACACAGTAGAATTTTTGCTCACAACACTCCACAGCTTAGAGGGAACATTGCTCCTAACCAGCTGATCTTAAGGCTATTAAGACTACATTTCCCACAATCTTTTATATATTTAAAGATACAGTACATTTGCTATTCTTTAAGATCAGTTCCCCTGGATAAAATGGCCATTTTGGAAGGTGGACTCTGTGGCGTTATTCCCCCGTTGAAGTCCCTCCCCTCCCCAAACCCCACCCTCCTCAGGCCCCACCCCCAAAATCTCCAG